GGTCTTCAGCTTTCTAAGAGGGCTTGAGGGGCTGGAGCGATAGCACAGTGGGTAGGGCATTTGCCCTGCACACAGCCGACCCGGGTTCGATTCCCAGCATATCATATGGTCCCCCGAGCACCACCAGGAGTAATTCCTGAGTGCAGAGTCAGGAGTAACTCCTGAGCATCGCCAGGTGTGACCCCCCCCCCCCGCAAAAAAAGGGGAAAAAATAAAAAATAAAAGGGCTTGAATCCACCAGGAGTGATTCCTTAGTGCAGTTAGAAGGAAGCCCTGAGCATCATCAGGTATGTCTCCAAAAGCAAAAATATAAATAAAATATTTAAAAAAAGACTTTTACCAACTCAAGCTACACCTTAAATAACCTCAGCTCCATATATGTAAATACATACATTTAATAAATTATTTTATATCAGCTACAAAAACTGTTCATTGTTACAATATTTGTTTTCTATTCCAAAAATCCTGGAAAACATTATCTGAGGAAATCTAAAGTTTTTAAAAATTTAATTAATTTGTGAACTTATTTCTATACCAAGTTCCTCCCTGCAGGGGAGTTTCTTTTCTTAGTTTAAACTTTTATGTTTAAAAGAAAAAAAGATATATTCATCGTATATACACTTTTTGCCATCAAAAAATCACTTAGGTAACTGGAGACAGTACAAGCAGTAAGATGCTTGCCTTGCATGTGGCTGACCTCGATTAGATCCCCAGCATCTCAGGTCTCCCCAGATGGCCAAGAGTGACCTGAGAGCAGAGCCAAGAATAAGCCCTGAGCACAGCTGGGTACGACAACAAAACAACAAAACAAAAAATCTAACATTTGGAGCTGGAGAGATGGTACAATGGGTAAGGAGTTTGCCTTGCAAGCAGTTGACAAAAGTTTAATCCCTCGTACCCCATATGGTTCCCTGAGCACCAGGAGTAATTCCTGAGAGCAGAGCCAGAAGTAACCAGAGTACGGCTCAGAAACAAAACAAAAACAACTTCAGGGCCAGAGAGGCAATGGGTAAGATGCCTGCTTGCACTGCAAGAAGGAGACACATATTCAATTCTCAGGCACCCCATATGGTACCCAGAGCACCATCAGGAACAATCTCCGAACAAAGAGCCAGAAAAGATCCCTGCACATAGCAGAGTGACACAAATAATAATCATTCTTACTGGGCCAAGCAATAGCTCAAAGATTAGCTAGAGTGCATGCTTTTCATGAAGGAAGCCAGGGTTCAATTCTTGGCACTGCATGTGTGATCCAAACACAAACTTAAAAAATTATTTTAGGGGCTGGAGCGATAGCACAGCGGGTAGGGCATTTGCCTTGCACGCAGCCAACATGGCCGACACAGGTTCGATTCCCAGCACCCCATCTGGTCCTCTGAGCACCGCCAGGAGCAATTCCTGAGTGCATGAGCCAGGAGTAACCCCTGAGCAAAGCCGGGTATGACCCAAAAAGCAAAAAAAAAATAATAATAAATTATTTTATTGGGACTGGAGAAATATTATAGCGAGTAGGGCACTTGCCTACACTCAGTCGACCAGGGATCAACCTCCAGGGTGCTTTATGATTCCCCCAAGCCCACCAGGAGTGATTCCTGAGTGCAGAACCAGGACTAAACCCCTGAGCACCACCTGATATGGACTCCCAAAAAAAAATTTAGTATTTCTACCACAACTATTAATCAATCTTGTTTCTTGCCATTTTGTGCTTGGGTTGAACCCAGGATCTTATGTACATGACGACTGTTCTCTGAAGCTCTATCACTAAGCCACAGCTTCATTCCTCTCTCAACAATTATGGGGAGAGGGGGCACACCCATCAACGCTCTGGGGACTATGTGGGGCTATGGACTGAATCCAGGTCTCCTACGTGTCAAGTATGTGCTTGAGCCTCTGAGCTATCTCCACAGTCCAATCTGTAACAACTTCTACAATGACTCTTGGAGCCAATGGTCAGCATCAAGAAAACAGCATTCCTCTACTGAATGGAAAGACTCTCGACCCACAACTCAAATATATTCTTCAATTTACACCTGGAGTAAGAAAACAAGGCAGTGTGAACCTGGGGTATGGAACCAGAGATTTAACATCCCATCTCTTGCCACAGGCTACTCCTCTTAGGTGACACTCAATCTACCTAAGCCTCAAAACTTTCTCATCTCACTTGTAATTTAAAGATCAATTTAAGGTAAAAGCTGAAGAGATAGTACAGTGGGTAATGCACTTGCCCTGCACATGGCTAGATCCCCGGTCTCATATATGGTATCCACCAGGAGTGATCCCAGAACACAGAACCAGGATCAAGACCTGGGAACAGTATCCAAAAAGAAAAAAGTAAAACCAAAATAGAAAAGAGTAGGAACGTGTGTAACTAATCCAGCACCTTAGTAAGTGCTCAGTTAATGTAATTTTCCCCCTAAGTTCCTCTTAAATAATAATAATAATAATAATAATAATAATAGAATAACCACAGAAACTCCCCTTAGACCTCTGTGAACCTGAAAACACAAAAATAGGTCATCTGGGCTTGACTAGGAGCTATCTGAATAAATTAGGTCACGATTCCTGTCCTTGGGACCACAGAGATAGCACAGCAGGAAGGCTCCTGCCCTGCATGTGGATCACCCAGTGTTGATGCCCAGTCCCCAGCACCACATGGTCACCAAGAGCCACCTGCAGAGATCCTGAGCAGCGAGCAAGGAGTAAGCTCTGGACCACAGCTGGGCGTGGCTCAAAAACCAAAACAAAGTTTTTGCTACTGAGGAACTCAGAACATGGTGGGAAAGCTGAGTCTAAGGCAACTCAAACTGTGACTAGGGCGCAAAGAGAAACCAAAGGCTGTGGTCACACAAGGAGGAAACAACTCACTATCATGGGGGGGAGGGGAGGCAGCAGAGAGCAGCAGGTACTCAAGATGAACCTGACTGCACAGGAAGGGAGATGAGTCAGGGGAAGAGCCTCTCTGAGGTCAGACATGTGCAAAGGGAGTAAGAGAAGGCTTTGGAGTCTTGGCCCAGTCCATGCCCCTTAACTGGGAAAACTGGTGCTAGCTACTAAGACCCTCTGTACTCCATTTTACACTTACAAAATGGAAAGAACGGTATCTTCCTGGGGACAACGAAATACAGTGACACAGGCCTACACCGAGAATAAGTGAAAAAGTAAAACTATGGTGGACAAGAAAGAAGAGCGCTTGAAATGCTTGAGGCTGACTAGGTTTGAGCCCCAGCACCCTATACGATCACCCATCAAGGGTTATCCCTCAGCACAAAGTCAGGAAGAAGCCCTGAGCATCCCTGGGTGTGGCCCAAATTCAGAAAGAAAGGAGAGGGGAGGGGAGAGGAGGGATGGAAAGAGGAGGGAAGATGGATGGCGAGAAGAGAAGACGGGAGGGGAGAGAGGAAGAGAAGGGGAGGGGAGGAGAAGGAAGAGGAGGGAGGGCAGGAGAGAGAGGAAGCAAAAGCGATTGTTTTCGAGGAGGGTGGGAAAGAGACAAGAGGCAGATGACTTTCTGGCGGCCCAAGGAGGTCTTGCTGCGAAGCCAGAAGTTTGGAATTAACTGCTGAGGACTAGACCAGAGAGGCTTTTAATAGGAGAGCAAAAGGATGAAATACTCGCTGTAGGAAAAACTAAAAGTGCTCTGTTCCTGAAGGGGAGTCAGGCACACGATCACCGGTGAGATGCATCCCAGGACGAGCCAAAGGCTGGGGTTCGAGAAATTTTAAAAGGCTCGGGGGAGCGGGGGTCCTCTGGCGCACACCCCAATCTTTCCTCCCGGGCCTCTTGAGAAGTCGACTGCACTGGGGAACGCGCAGGGGGCGAGAGAACCGTCCTGGCCTGCGTGTGCCCCGGGGAACGCACGGAGGACGGAGGGCGCTGCGCCGCCAGCAGAATCCGTTAACTTCTTGCGCGTCTCCGTGGAACGCCGGTCCCTCCAGTCAAACGTCGCCGCCCACCCCGCGGTGCACAAAAGGGCGGAAAACGTTCCCCGGCGCGGCGTGGCGCGGCGCGGCCCCGCGGCTCGGGCTCCAAGTTCAACGGTCCCGTGCGTTCCACAGCGGGCCCCGCGGGGCCCCCCGGCGAGAAACCGGCCGCGCTCCGCAGCGCCCCGCGGCGCACGGGCCCCGGGGCCGCCGTCACGCCGCGCCTCGGCCGCGCCTCGGCCCCGCCGGGCCGCCTCCCGAACGCGGGCGCGGCGGGGCGCAGCCCGCTCGGCTCCGGCGCCCCCTCCCCGCGGGTGCCGCCAGCCAGCAGGCGCCCCGCCGCGCCCAGGCCACCAAAGTAGCGAGTCCAGCCCACCGGCTCCGGCCTCTCTCCGAGCCCCCCCGCCGAAGTCGAGTCCCCCGCGCAGCCCCCGCCCCTCCCCGCCCCCTAGAACGGCACCGAGCGGGATGGCTACGTGGTGGCCGGGAGAAGGGCCCGGGAGGGGGGCGCGCGCCCCCGTCGGGGCCGACCCCCCGCCTCCCCCCGAGTCGGAGCCCGTCCGCGCCGTGACTCTGCAGTCGCCAGGCGACAGTTTGCCGGTCCCGGCGCCGTCGCCCGCGCCGCGCCGCCCAGCCGCCCCAACGCGGGGGGCCCGCGCCGAGGCCGGCCCGAGCGGGGCTGCGGGAGGCCGGCGCGCTGCGGCCCAGGGCGGGGTTGGCGCGGCGGCGCGGGCGCCGGGCCTCTTCCCCGCCGCGGGCGCCGCTCCGGGGGCCTCCACGGCCACGCCGCCCGCGCCCTCCCCCCGGCGCGGCCCGACCCCGAGAAGCGGCCGCCGCCGGGCGAGGGGCTCCGGGGCGCGGGGCGGCGGGGACGCCCCGAGTGCGGCCTGGCGCTCCCGCCCAGGCTGCGGCCTAGGCGGCCGGGGGCGCTCCCGCGGCCCGCGCGCGGACCCCGGGCTCGGCGGGGCCACACGCGGCGGGGGGCCGGGGGCGGCGCCCCGAGGGGCCCCGGGCCGCCGCGGGGGCCCCCGGGCCCGGCCGCCGCCCCCCGCCCGGCCGGCGCCGGAGAATGGCTTTTACCTTCATCAGCCTCCTGCTGGCCGCCATCTTGGATCTGGTGCTGCTGCTTGCCCAGAATGCATCGCGGCCGGCCGGGCGGCTGCAGCCCCCGCACTTCCTGGCGCGGGGGCGGGGCGGGGCGGGGCGGGGCGCGCCCCGCGTGCCGAGCGCTGCGGGGCAGCCCTGGCCAGGCACCCGCGCCGCCGCGGGGCTGCCTGGAGAACTTCTGGGTAGAGTCCGAGCAGACAACTTGCAAACAGGCCGGGCGCGTAGTAGGTACGCAGCCAATAGTGCCTGCCTGAGATCACTGAATAACCAAGGTTTTCCACCCCCCATCACTTGTAGGAAAAAAAAAAAAACCTGGGAAAGAAGAAAAATAAAAGGGAGGAAAAAAATAAAGAAAACTGGGGGACTGGGAAGACAGTACAGAGACTAAGGCGCTTGCCTTTACGCAGCCAGCCCGGGTTTGATCTTCAGCACAGCATGTGCTCCCCTGAGCACTGCCAGGAGTGGTCCTGAGTATGGCTTTGAATGTGGGAGCCCCAGGTTCAAAACTCTAACATAAGGTTCCCCGGGCGCCCCTAGGAGGAGCCCCAAGCACCACTGGGTGCCAAAAGCAAATTATAGGAGCAACCCCCAAACACCAATGGGTGTGGCTCAAAAACAAACTACAAAGAAGAAAAGTGGATGATGGGAAAGTGGCAGCCATGGAGTGCTACTTTAGATGGTGAGCTAACCCTCACTGAGGACCCGGAACCTACAAAGTACTGAGACTTCCTCTTAGCCCTTGACTTTCTTGAATCCTTGAAACTGCCCTTTAGTGTGGTAACCGTTTACACCCACACGTTATACGCAACAAAAGCATAGAGAAGGCAAATCATTTGCCCAAGGTCACGCTGCAAGTGTGGCTTCAGAGCTGAGTTTCAGCAGAGCTGAGCATCTTAGTTCCAAGCTGAACTGCACTCCAAAGCCAACACTGGGGCCTTAGAGACTTGCTCCAGCAGGAAAAATGGCACCAAGAGTCAAAGGCAGTGAGTCATCTGGGAAAAAGAAGGATTTGAAGGGGTGAGGAAGTACTGCAAAGATAGCCCTCTCTTACAGTCATATATGGTCCACCCCATATGGTCCTCCCAAGTCCACAGGAGTAATCCCTGAGCACAGAGTCAGAAGTACAACCTGGTATGAACACAAAACAAAGTGAGGGAAGCAGGTGGCAAGCTGTGGAAGGCCTTATAGAAATCAGGTAGCTTTGTTTTTTCTTCTACTTACTAGATAACTTTTAATGGGCCCAAAAAATAGCCTCATAGATTGACACTTTGCTTTTGTTTTGGGGTCATATCTGGTGGTGTTTAAGCACTACCCATAGGTCTGTGCTCAGAGGACCATGTTGTGCTGGAGATCAAACTGGGATTGGTCACATGCAATACAAGCACCTTAATCCTTGTACCATCTCACTGGCCCATGAGCCTGTGTTTTGTTTTGATTTGGGTTTGTTTTTTGGGGGGAAGGAGGCGACACACCCAGCATTGCTCAGGCCTTAGTATTCAGGGATCCCATCTGTGGTGCTGGGGATCAAACTTGGTTCAGCCATTTGCAAGGCAAGTGTCTTATCTTCTGTATTATCTCTGTAACCCCATGGATTTTTTGTTTTGTTTGTTTTAGTTTTTTGTCTTGGAGTCAGACCCAGAGATACTCAGGGGTTACCCCTCAATCTAGGCTTGGGGGACCATTATAAGATGCCAGGGATCGAACCCAGGTCAGCTGCATGGAAGGCAAATGTCCTAACCACTGTGCTATCGTTCTGGCCCCATGCAGGCTCATCTTTTAAGGGGAGCACTCTCGTGAGAACCTGGAATGAGGTAAAGGGGGCAATAAAGCACACTAGGGACCCATCGGAAACTTGGAATCAGCAAAGAGGGAATAGTGGGTGGTTTGGACCTCTGGTGGCAGTGCTGGCAGAGAAGGGTAAAACTTCAAAACACAAAGGAGATGGATGCTAAAGAGATAGAACAAGGCTTAACTTTCTTACCTTGCATACAGCCAACCTGGGTCTCCAGACCACCATCAGGGGTCACTTCTGATCACAAAGCTAGGAATAGCCCCTGAATACCACTGAGTGTGGTCCTGAAACAAAACAAAACAAACAAACAAAAATCAAAATATTTAGAGGAGAGAGTGCAAAGACTAGCAGAGATGCTTTGCATGCTGGAGGCCCGGACCAGATCCCTGACACCACATCATCCCCTAAGCACTTCTGGGAATAACCTCAAGCGCTTGTGGTATGACCCAAAACCAACCAAAAAAACACCTGTGCATGTACTCTTTAGTCCAGACAGAATTCACGCTTTGCCAACAGTAGGTAAGGTATTTGCCCTGCATGCAATTGACCTGGGTTCAGTTCCCAGCACTCTATATGGTCTCCCAAGCCCCACAAGGACTGACTCCTGAACAATCAGGAGTTAGCCCTGAGCACCACCAGGTGTGGCCCCCAAACCAAATAAATGAAGTCTTAATTGCTCTCCAGAGTAGGCCTGGCTTCCAGTCTCAGCAGCTTCCCTCCACTCAGGCACCCTCTCTGCTCACTGTTTGGTCCTGACCTTTCCATCACGTGTTCAGGCCAGCCAAACTGACTTTTGTTTTGTTTTGTTTTTGTGCCACGCCCGGTGGTGTTCAGGGCTTACTTCTGGCTCTGTGCTCAGAAATCACTCCAGGCAGATACAGGGGACCATATGAGGTGTCAGGGATTGAACCTGGAACAGCCTCATGCAAGGCAAGTGTTGTACTATCACTCCAGTCCCAAAACTGGCTTCTTTTTTGGTTTTGTTTTGTTTTGGGGTTTGCTTTTTTTTTAAAGTTTTTGGGCCATACCCAGCAGTGCTCAGGAGTTGCTTTTGGTTCTGCACTCAAGAATTACTCCTTGAGGGGATTTGGGGGATCATATGGGATGCCAGGGATTTAAACCCTGGTCGGCTACATGCAAGGCAAACATCCTAACCTAAGTACTATTGCTCAGAGCTTACTCCTGGCTCAGTGTTCAGGGATCACTCCTGGAGGGGTCAGGGGACCATACATGATGCTGGGAATCAAACTGGGTTAGCTGCCTGCCAGGCAAGCACCCTACCTGCTGTGCTATCACTCTGGCCCTCCAAGCCCTCTCTCTTTTTTTTTTTTTTTTGGCTTTTTGGATCACACCCGGCGCTGCAAAGGGGTTACTCCTGACTCTGAACTCAGGAATTACCCCTGGTGGTGCTCAGGGGACCATATGGGATGCTGGGAATCGAACCCGGGTCAGCCGCATGCAAGGCAAACGCCCTACCCACTATGCTATCACTCCAGCCCCAAGCCCTCTTTTTAACCATACCACGTGCCTCTTCTTCAACCAGCACTGAGTCCTGTCCTCATCGGCTACGTTTCCAGGATATCAAGGAGCATACCATGAAAACTACAGAAAGTAGCCAAGAAAGGAAGGAATTCTTCAATATTCAACAGAGGAAGCAAGAATCTTTTCTGAGGCAATGGGCACTGACTCAGTATAGCTGACTATGGCTGGCACTGGTCACTGGACATTAGCACTCACAACAAAGTTTATTGCCACCACAGGGCCAGGCTATCACAGATGAGGAAACTGAGATTCTCATCTTCCATCTGAGAAGTGGGCTTCTGGAGTTAGATTCTGATCTTCTGGAAGGTTCTGCTCCCTCTTGCTCTCCTCCCTCTACTATGCCAAAGTCTCATATCCTGGCACCAGCCTACAGGTGTGTTTTTCTGTTGTTTGGACTCGAGATAATGCTCTGGGGCAACTCCCTGATACTCTGGTCATGCTCTAGGGCAACCACCAGCTCAGTGCTTGGGAGGTCACTCCCGGAAGTGCTCAAGGAAACGTGGGCAGGGGATTAATTGGGAGGGAGTGAACCTGGCCCTCCTGCATATAGTGTTCACACCAGCTCATTGAGGTCTCTCTCTTTTTGGTACTGGCTTGCAGGTATGAATGAGTCACAAGTTTGATCTCTGGCACCACCCGAGGACAAGTGTGAGCCCTAAAACACTTCTATCTGGGATACCTAGTACTGCAACAAAGTGTGTGATCTGGGGCCGGGGAGATAGTACAGCAAGTAAAGGACTTGCCTTGCATGTAGCTGACCCAGGTTCACTCACCAGCATTCCATATGGTCTCCCAAGCACCATCAGGAGTGATTCCTGAGCCAGGAGTAGCCCCTAAGCATTGCCAGATATTGACCAAAGCCCAAAGTGTGTGATCTCTGGCACACCACTGTGTGTGTCTGCACGTGTACCACAACTAAAGCATGCATTTCTTGGTCAATGCAGCAACAGGAATGACAAAGGAAGGGGGAGACCTGATGCCCTGCGTCTTCCCTCCCCATAACCAGGTTTCAGCACCACTGCATCCCCTGCCTCTGCGCATGCTCCCTATGTCTGCAATGCGTTTGTCATTCCCTCCCCCCAACACCCCCAATCCATCTGGCAAGTGCTCGTCGTCCCTCGGGACTCAATTCCCCGTGCTTCCTTGGGGAAGTCGACAGCAGGCAGCGTGCTGGGCTCCCATGGGTGTGAATGCACAAGCGTCTCGTTGACTCAGTCATTCCCTGAGGTTCAAACTTTTATCAGCCTCCCTGGCAGAAGAAAAAAACTGAGACTCAACAGGTCACTGGGGCTACATTTTCTCAGACTCCCAAGTCAACAAAGCCTCCAGCCCATGTCTGCTTCTGGACTGTGAGCTAAATCTGAGTCTGTGAGACCACTGACCTGAAGGACACCTTCCTTTTCTTTTCCTGCATTTCCTTTTACCACATCCCTCTCTCTCTCTCTCTCTCTCTCTCTCTCTCTCTCTCTCTCTCTCTCTCTCTCTTCCATCTTCCCTCCCTTTCCTCCTATCTTCCTTCTCTCCTTCCTCCTTTCTTTCCTTACCATTGTAATCTTTCTTCTTGGTGAATGAAAAAAATTTTTAAATGAACACAGTGCCTGGCCCCCACCCTGCTCTAATCAAAACGTTTAATAAAGGACTATCCCCATGCAAGACAAACTGTAAATCTCAGGACATAGGAAACAGCAGAAACCCACCCAGCCAGACTGACTCAG